GAGCGTGCTGCTCCGACCGGCTTTAAAGGCTTAAACACCTCAGGCTCGTCCACACATGTCAGATTAACACAACTGCAACTTCATTTGTTCCATAGCTAAACAGACAGAAGTGCATGCTTGAATACGAAGTCAAAGGTAAAAAGGCTCCTCTTGATCTGCTGTATTTAAATACAGTTTTGTGTTTGAATAGGTTCCATTGTTGGATAAACGATCACGTGTTTCCCAGTTAGAGTTTCGTCCTGTCGTCACAGAAACGTTTAGATCAACAGTAGTTTTCTTTTATCGAGTGATGAAGTCAAACTAAACACTCAAGTCTGCCAGATAAACTCTGTGTTCTGCTTGTAGATAATGTCTGTTGGAGTAAACGACTGAGCTTGTCACAAACCACAGGAGAGCTTCTCTGTGCACGGAGACAAAGCATAGAGTGTGTTTATTTGGAGGAGGGTGACTTTGCATTTTCAGCGCAGACATGCAGCCTGGTATTGGAACTTGTCAGGCTCTTCCCACAGACACTCAGTTTCTTTTTACACACTCATCAACAGTAACGTGAGAGAAGAGTGCCGAATGATTATAATCGATATCTGTTTCAGTGCTGAGAGCTTACGCTGCAGTAAGGATGCTAATGCTAAGATGCACAAGTGCAGCACTGGTAGGTGAGTAATCTGTGAGACCGTGTGCTGCTTTAGAAAACGTGACCGAAGATGAAGATGAAGAGCTGCAGAATGCTTGTGTGTCCTGAAGAGTGTTATTAGCCTGCACTGTGCTGCATGATCCAAACTCTTTGTTGTTCAGAGAGGCCGTGGTTGCATGTTGCAGCTCCCCGTGGATTCATCCTAAATTCCCCTGATTGTATGACGTACCTCAGGTTTCCGGCCTGGATAAACAGGAATGCCTCGTGCATAAACTACCAGTTATCTGTATCTGATCCTCATCCTGTCACCTGTTAGCTTCAGCTGGAGGTTTCTTCCTGTTAAAGAGAGTTTTTCCTTCCCACTGTTGCCAAGTGCTCGCTCAGAGGGCGTCGTCTGATTGGTGGGTTTCTCTGTATTATTGTGGAGTCTTTACAGTATGCAGTACATGCTGCACGTTTTATCTCTGCGTTTAGTAACTGTGTTGTTTTAGAGACCCTGTTGTGTCTGACAGAGTGAATATCGTGTTGGGTTTAGTTTGGTGTTATGTGATCACTGTCTCAGGCTACATCGATGAGCCACAGATGTTGTTGCAGCAGCATCACACGACAGCTCTGTGTCCTCCAGAGAGACACTGAACTTGGCCCTGCTGACTTAGGCCACATACCAAAGACGTCAGGGCTCAAAGAAATGGATTTAATAGAAAAATAATTTATTTTGAAAGTTTTGTTTTTGTCACTGCGCCGTTCTGTGTGCTTCATGACTCTTAACCCTGAGACTGCTGTGGTGCTGACACTGCTCTGATAGTTCACTGGGTTATAGGCCTGCGTCCTCAGCTGGCAGAGCTGCATGAAAACAAACTGACACACAGACTGTTACTAAAGGATCCCAAAGTCCAGGCACACCAGATATCTGCCACACTGACAGCCCTGCGTGTGAAGCTGGGGCTCATCTGTTCAGTTGTCCCTCAGTGTGCTGCTGCTTTGGATCAGCTCCAGGAACCACGCTGATGCTGGAGACGGTTGGATAGCAACCCTAAACCAGGGCTTAGCTGCTCAGCTGTCTGCACACTTAGCCCGATGAATTTGTTCTGAGCCTAAAAGCTGTAACCAAGCATGATGTGTGTCTGCACACTGTGCCACTGACTTACTCTTCTTCTGAGTTTACCAGATGTTGTTCACATCTGACAGAAATCTTTGCACCTGTGTAGTAAATGTGCTTTAACCCTTTAAA